ATGTCCACGGGCTCATTCTGACAGCACTTCAGACAGCAGCTCCATGCCCCGAGCTTGTGTACCATGCACCATGGTGTTATCATTGTACAGACAGCACTTCAGACAGCAGTACGCTGTAGTCGACAAAAAAACATTTTGGTTTAATGCGGGACTAGGGGGGTGATGCTGCTGCTGTAGTTGATTTGTAGCGTGTGGGCGTGTAGTTCAGTTGTGAGCACGCAAACGTGCTGCGGGGATTGCAGGTGTACCTCCTCGGGCTTGCGTACCCATTCCTTGCTAATAGTGTGTGTGTTCTTCAAGATCTTCTGATGGCTCTAGCATTTTTGTGACCACGGACCGAGTCTTGGCTAGATTTTGGGATTAGCGACTGACACGAGTTAATGTGAAGAAAAACAACAACAACAACAACAACAACAATGATAGGAAAAAGATATACTCCAAAATCTGAAAAAAAGCAAAAAAGACAACAAAAGGCCAGACACGAGACTCGAATCAGAGACTCGCTTTCGGGCCTAGACCAACGGCAGAGACCAGTTGGATCAACGGTGAAATGAGCATCTTCATACCTGCAACGCTGACGAACATTTTCCTGTACAGTCGAACCTCGCTTAAGTTAACGAAAATTAAGTTAACTCCCCCAGTAAAGTTAACAATTTTTTTCGGAAACATGGTGCCCCGCAGAAAGTATTGCATACAGGGGGGGTAAAAATACAGTCCACGGACCCCCTCAAAACCAGCAGCAGCAGCAGTGCTCTCACTGCTCTGTAGACCGCCAATAAGAGGTCTGCTGCTGCACCTGCTGTCTGTGGGTATGGAGAGATTCCTTCCATCCAGCGGTGCATCGTCTGCGCCTGGCAAAAAACGATGCGAGGAGCCTACATGCACGGTACCGGACTCCACGGACGATGAAGATGGTGGGGGTAGACCAGAGTCGTGCGTAACATCTTCGATGACAGAGGCCGAAGTTCGCGGTAGCCTAGAGAAGGTTTGCTCCTACTTGTACGCGAACGGAAAGGATGGGGAGTACCGCGAGACCCAGTACCTGCTCTCGAAAGTTGTGCATTCGTTCACTCACGAAACTCAAGTGAAGCGGCGAGCCAAGGAGGGGGGGGAGCTGCAGGCAACTCTGCGCGACATGTGGAGGTCGTAGAGTGTGCGGTACAAACGACCAGAGCTGTGTTTGGGGTGGCCTATGTATGTCTTGAATGCGTGGGACCGCATGAGACTACTACACAGGAGTGGCTGTACATTGCGATCGACGAGAAATGTGTGCGTGGGTTCAAGCGTTCCAACATAGCATCTTGGTTATAGTGTTGTTTAGTAAAATGGACATAAAAATATGCTCCCTCTCACTTTTTTCAGTCTCCTCTCTCGTCAAACACGTAGTGGAGCCCAATGCGCGTCTATTGAGGTATTCACCGCCTCTATTGGCCCCGGGGATGGTGAGTTGTGGTCCCCTGAATTTTAAGTTAACTTCCTCGCCTTAAGTTAACTTTTTTTCGGGAAAAACCATGTGTTAACTTAAGCGAGGTTCGACTGTAATTGTTTCTGAAATCGGGCAGATACACCTTTAGATATCATATTGCGCCACATTAAAAAATTGAGAAGGGAACTGTGAAGATTTTTTTTTTTTCAAATTTGGCTTCCTGATTTTTATTCAGGCATGTTGTCCAAAGGTTCGGAAATGGAACCAACGCCATAAAATAGAACAGAAAGAGAGCTTCAATTATCTGCAGTTTTTTCGGTCGCAACCCCGTAGTTGTCGAAGTATGCAGTACGCAGGTTTGAGTGGGGGTGAAGTACCTTCGGTGGCGATGGTAATAGGTCCATGACTTTTGATCCAAAGCGTTGCGACCCATATTGAAAGGCTTATTCGAAAGCTGCAGGCTAGAGCTTTCCAACGCATATTTGTTTGTCGCCCAATTTTTTGGACAACCCTTTCAAAAAAAATCAACCCGCCCCAAAAATGTGGGACCATCGGTGGCACTGCTGCAGTAAGCATAGCTGTGTGCAGGGCAAAGCAGTCTGACTGCTGCTGCAGGGACGAGGGAGAAGCGCATGTGCGTAAGGCAGCAAAACAAACAGGAAGACGGAGTCATCTTTCTTCTGTATACATCAACCTATTACCATGTACTACAGAATAGCATGCGGTAGCAGTCGCTTGCGCTAAAAGCGGGTGCGGTCAGAACATGCAGCAGACGATTTGTTCTTGCCCACCGATTCTTTAGGCCTCCGCCGGCTGTATCACGAGCGCTGAAACTGCTTGGTGTATGCGGCGAATTTTGCAGGACGCTTGTTCTGCATGTTTGCACAGCAGCACCTCTCCTGCCGAGGCAACATTGACCTGTGCTAGAGCCCTCTCCTGCTTCTGTATACCTCGCTCAGCACAACAGACGTACCTGAGGCTCGATCCACTCCGGCAGAGCAAACCTCTCGCTCGCCGGCCTCGCCCCGGCCCTCCGCTTGACCGAAACCAGCACCAGCTTTCCAGCAGATGACACCATTCCGAGCAAACTCGAGTCTCTCTTCCACAGCAGGCTCGTGGCTGCTAGGCCACGCAGCGGGAGCGTCAGGATGCCCAGAGGGACATGGTCCTTGCCGCCCGACCAGAGACACAATCGCGAGGTGGACGCTACAGCAAACAGGGACCCGGACGGGTTGAACGCGACCTCGAGGATTTGCTCTCCGCGCTTGGGCTCCGGGCGCAAAGATAGCACCTTCGGGCAACCATACACGAAGTACATGGTCTCGCTCCCTCTCCTCTGAGATGCCTTCTGCGCCCCTCTACTTCGCTGCTGCGGTGGAGCAGAGCGGACGGCGGAGGGCGAGTGTTCCCGTGAGAGTGTTCCGTCCCCAGTCTCGCCGCCAAGGGGCCCCGCGTGATCATATACGATACCTCCGATGTACAGTCTTCGGAGATGACGGAGATCTGGGTATAGGCACATCCATCCGCTCGCTGGCGGCTGTAGGGCGCCGTCACTGTTGGCCCTCCGTATACATTGCTCACCGTACGAGCGCGCCTCAATGTCGTCACGGAAGACGGCCGCGAAGGCTGATATCCCGGATATACATCCGGAGAGCGTAGAGGAACTACGGGAAGCATTTGACCTGTTTGATACCAAGGGGGCGGGTGCGTAATGAGAGCCGTGCACCGAATATCCAGAGAAGAACATTACTGCACTATTGTACTGCTGTTTTCATACACACATGCAATACCAGCCCACGCAGGTTGTCGAGTTGCTGGGAGAATCTAATATCGAGAGTGAGTGGAGTCTGGATGGTGGGATACTGAAACTACCCTACGTGGGAACGTCTCATGTCGAAGTGTGCCATCGGCAAAAAAAGCTGGAGGACGGGAAGATTTGTAAGATTTTGTCATTTCCCCCCGCGATCTTCCATTCCGCGGGCGGGATTGTTGGATGACCAATAGACTATACCTCGGTGGAGAGAAGAGATGTGCACAATCTAGCAAGGTGCTAGAAACGCGGTTCGTGGCAGGCATCGTCGACGCGAAAAAATCGAACGCAACCACTGTTCGTGCGTCTTCTCACCCTCTGCTCTCACAATCAATCGTATTTTACGTTCTGTTCGTTGTCTTCTCCTTTTTGGGTTGGTTCCAGATACGGTCCATCGCACGCAACCAAGTGTACCGTGTGTACAACTCAATTGCCATCTAACTCATCTATCTCTCTCTTTCTGCCTGTTATCTTTTATTTATTTTGTTTGTTTTGACAGGCGAGATTCCGATGTCGGAGCTGGTTGATTCTATGCAGACGCTTGGCTTCCAAGACAAAAACCCGATGATGTTTGAGCTGATGCAGGACATCAGCTCCAAAACGAAAGGGGAGCCCATTACCTTTGTCCAATTCGCTGAAGATCTGGCGGATCTGATCGTAAGCACCGAATGCCATAGTGTATTTATGTGGAGCACCAGCCTACTATCTGCTGTATTTCACACAAAAGGCATGATGAGCCACGGGCATCCTTTACGTGCTATAGGATTGGTCCTTTCCCCAAAACAGGTCTGTCTTCATACGTAACATGGTAGTCTATTCAACGTGTTTACCACGATCGATGATGGATATATAGAACCGCCGTAGGCTCCAAGAATTCATCGTCTCCGGAGTTTAAACCAGTTGGAATGAACTTTCGCACAACGAGTTCAACCTTGACACCGCCTCAGCTGACTACCAGTACCTGTTATTCCTTGCGCCATCGTCATGAGACTTTCTTGATCGCGCGTGTTTACACCGAACCCATCAGAGGGACGTCAACCAAGAGAAGGACCTGAGAATGGTGTTTGATATGCTCGACACGGAAAATACAGGCAAGTTTCAAAAGGAACTTAATGTTCCACACACACCGTTCTTGGTATTGCGCGGCGTTTTGAGCAAGAAGGTGAGAGGGGGGGAGTGTGTGTGTGTGTGTGTGTGTGTGTGTGAGAGAGAGAGAGAGAGAGAGAGAGAGAGAGAGAGAGAGAGAGAGAGAGAGAGNNNNGAGAGAGAGAGAGAGAGAGAGAGAGAGAGAGAGAGAGAGAGAGAGAGAGAGAGAGAGACAGCCAGACAGACAGACAGACAGACAGAAAGGCAGAAGAAGAATAGAAGGAGCACAGTACAGGCAGACTCGTGCCTTTTCTCTTCGCCAAGAGAGGTGCCATCATCAACATCATCAGTAGTGTGTGTTTGGCTTTCGTATTAACCAAACCTTGATCGCCTTGCGAATCCGGGTAGTAGGTAACTTGACTTGTTCACCATTTGCAACCAAGGCCCGCACGCACGCACGTGTGGGTAACCTACAATGTGTCGCGCGGAGACCATGCGCAAATTTATGCCGCGACGGGTTCTATCTCTCATCGAGATTGAATGGTCGTTGCTTGATCCGGTAGGGAGTATTAGCCTGGGGAATCTCAAGAAGGTGGCGAACGAGTTCGGACATACGATCAGCGGTGAGATGAAGTGTACATACAGAGAACGGCGAAGAGGTACGACGAGTGATGATAGTTTGGCGGCCTCCCCCGCTCCCATTGTTGATGGAACATACACGGAGAAACTGACGAGAGGGGTGGGTGTCGTGCGCTGCCATTTCATGAACTTTTGCGTCTTTATTCTCTTGTCATTCCTTCCTTATGTTTTCATATTTGAAGCCCCGCATCATGCAAGCTGCCGACACACGCTGCTGCTGTCGTTGCACACCTGGCTGCAAAATCTTGGTCATTACGCCACCAACGCGCTTTCTGTCTCCTCGCCGCACATAACAGATGCCGAGCTCATGGAAATGATTTCCACCGCAAATTACGTGGAGGAGGGCTTGGCGGACGCAGACGAGCAACTCTCCAAAGAGGTATGGAAACGACACAACAACGATGAAAGCACACTTTGTTCACGCACGGGCTGAACGTCCCGCGTGCTTCATCTCAAGGGTGCGGATGCGGGAAACATTGTGGGGGCTGTTCTGCGTTCGGGTGCATGCATCCGTAGGAGAGTGGGCACGTTTGTTTAACTATTCTTACTGTAGCCGCCTGATTTCGTTGTGACCATAGTCAGTCTAGGCCTTTTCCTGTACGCCACCGCCCTTTCAGATTGCGAAGCCGATATCCATCGTGCACATCCCTCTTTTTGCCCATTTGCTGTGCGCGACGTTTTAGGTTCGCCGACGATGCACCCTCCCGCCCCGTCCTTCACTTCATTTGTGCTCCCCGCGTCTCAAACACTGTGCCCCCATGGATCAATAATCAGGTTTCCTTCCCCGACTTCTACAACCTCATGACCAAGGGCCGTTCAGCAGGATCAACCGCCGAGGCATCGTCCAAAACCCCTGGGGGGGGGGACCACCCAGAGTAGGAGTAGCAGCAGCGTTTTTGGGAATGTTGGGGTGGGGGCATAACGATCAGCAGCTAACCAGGAGGATCGTCGTGAAGCCTGGTGTGCTAGGGGTTGGTGGGATTCGCGTCGGATTTGTGTATCATCTTCACTTCGCATTCAAAGAAGAAGCGCCATTCTCCCCCGCGACAAAATAAAACGCAGGAAAAATACTCTCCCCCTGTGTCCACTGTTCTTTTATCTTCATTTCTTCCTGCCAAGCGATAAAGCCACCTCGTTTTTCAAAACCACAGGCCCACATCAACCGTCTTGGCGCAATTTATCGCCGCTCGACAAAACTCTATATCACTACAAGGATTACTTTCTCATCTCACTTTCGCCTGCACCCGATCATATGCATACCAATCAGTCCACCCGAGACACAGAACCACCCACCCACCCTTGCCTAGCTTTTCCCAGATATGAAATAACACGGATGACAGGTATAGAAACGACGGAACCACTGTTACAGTAGCGCACATAAAAAAGATATTCTTGAGCGGAGGATTACCTTGCCCATCGTTGGACAACAAGAAATCCCGCTCTGGAAGTCGACTCCTCCAAAAGTCACCGGCTGAAACGGGGAGCGGGAGGTCTTTCGACTACCTAGCCCTCCCGACACTTCTCCTTATTTCACGAAACAAGGCTGCTTGCTGTCGGCCGTGGGTGAATACCGTCACGACCTAGGTTTCCTTCAGACGACGAGGCCTAGCCTTAACAGACCTCCAATAAGCTCTCCCTACGTCCAATACAGACAGCAAGCGGGTTGCTGCTGCTTTGTATGCAATGTAATTAGTTAATGCTGCGCCAGCACACTCTCCTTACGTCATACTCCTACACAGACAGCAAACGTGAAGGAGGCGTTCTTCCTCTTGCCTGTTGTATGAAAACGAGTTTATGCTCCCCTAGACACACGTACTGTAACTCATTACCCCACTCCCATCGCCATTAGGCTGCAGCCCACGGTCAAAGGTCACACCGGGTACGAAAAACCCTACAGGGAGGGGGGCTCCGCGTTATGTGCCACGTTCTCGCCCGGACACAAAGCGCACACCCTCGGGTACCGATGGAGGTTAAAAGTGTTACTTCGGTAGAACATAAAAATGCATGCCATGGCACAAAAAAGTTAACTGTTCGTGCCGAGCTCAAGAGCAGCAAGTGCAGTAGCGCTCGTGGTAAAAAAACAAGAGATGTGTACAGCACCCCTCACAGCCTTTCATGCTCAAAGGCCCAAATTTTCAATCCAACATCCCGGGTCCACTCGACGCTTTGCGCCCGCAGGGCAAACGGCGGGCGTGGGTATCTTCGATACTTTCTCAGGCAACCCACACCGACGTCGCCGAACTTTCTCAAACTCAGGCAACGAAAGCTCGCTGATGCCTCGGAACGCACATCGCTCTGACAAAAAGTCGCTCCGTAGATCTGCTAATAAGTAACAACAATAGACACAAGCCAGGCAGGTACACGCACGCACACACACACACACACAACACACCCGGGGTCGGTACACCCAACAAAATGTGAAACAAAAGCGTTAGCTGCCGCCACCACTCTCCTCCGAGCACCGCCTCCGCGTTGTGGACCGCTGCCTTCGCCCGTACCGTCACCATTCTACCGGAGCTGGCTGTCGCAAAGGAGACCAACCTCCCGCGCTCCGCCACAGCACGCCGGAAAACCGGGCGCAGTTTCGCCACTGCTAGGCCCTCCTCTTCCTACCAACACCGGCCTCAAGCTGTACATGTATCAGACCACACAGGGCTATGGCTGGCCTTTTCTTGCTCGGATAGGCTCGGCCGCTCCTTAGTGCCGGGAGTGTTGTCGGGTCACGAACGGTGTTTATGGCATGGCGTACTTAACAGACACCAAGGGCGACTTGTCCTCTCCGGTTGGAAGCACGTTCTTGTGCTTGATGTAAACGTCATACTGCAGCCCAAAAGAAAAAGAACGCCAGGACCCCAGCACACGGACGGGTGAGGCGGACGTCAGGCAAGGGGAAATAAGTCAAGCAATCTCAATGATGGCACACGCTCTTCTGGACAACAAAACCCTTCATGCACACATGGCTTGTAACGTGATTTGTCAAAAAAACAGGCTACCCACGAGGCACGCGCGTTCCAAGCACCTATTTTGGACACAACAGTCTGGCACTTTCATTCTCATGCCACCGGGGTCGGCGAAAAAGCCCGGCAGCAATATTTTTTCCCGCCACGGAACGCGAAGCTTTCCTGTTATTTCGGGTGTAAAGAGGAGACTCCCGTGGGTAACGTCGTCGATAATTTTCACTCACCACTTTTTCTATGACAGTACCTTCTATCAAGAAAAAAAAGAGTACTCACCAACCGAACGTTCTCCTTCTGCCTCTTGACCGCGATCGTCCCCTCCACCTTGCCCCCCCCGACCACGTCGTGCGGCACCTGCAAGTGGAAAACCTGCTGCCCCCAGTGCGTGTAACCGTTCTCCGGGCCGGTGGAGAGGGTGACCGGGCAAGGGCACGGGTTGGCTTCCGTACCGTGGAAGTCTGCCGTGAACCATCCCGCGAACCCGGAGACCCTGGCGTCTTCCTCCAGCGAGATGGACACGTTCGTCTCATCGACGCCCTGCGTTGAGGCGATGGTGGCCGCGGAGGGCGACAGAAATCGGTTACCCACCAAAAGCATGAAGACAAGAGAGCGCAAGAGGGAATCGCCGTCGCAGGAAGGGACGAAGGCCAACGTTGCCACGAGCGGCCAATAACCGCGGTCACGACACAGACCGCATCAGCGGCGACACATTCCCCGACACACACAACACACTAAATACTCTTTTCACCTGCACGTCCTCCAGCGTGCACGTGTGCATGTCGAACGTCTGCACAACGACCGGTTCTCCCAGCACCTGGTCCTTGTCCAGCTCCGCCCAGAAGCTGGACAGGATGTAGTACCCTCGCTGCTCCTCCTCGTACACCGCCTTTGAAGGGTCAGCGGGCATTCGAGCGATGGGTTAAGGACCGACAGGGCTGAAAATCACGAGTGCCGGCGAGAGACAGCCGGGAGAGACACGGCATGACGATCATGCGCTCATCGACAAGACGTGACAGATTGGCTGGCCCCTCGTTCTTTACCTCTTCGTACGCGCCGAGAAAATGTTGTTACTGCTCAACGCCAAAACGCTTTGGTCTGGTAAAAAAGAAAAAACTTTGTGTTTTATGCGAGACGTATTCCTGGTTTCGCCGCCTCGTGCACCGGCTTCTTCGAACAAACATCCACGTTTTCATAACAGCATGTACACCCCGCCCAGCGCGGGGATTCCGAAGAAACCCTCTCGGCAGGGACAGAGTTAGGAAAAGTAACACGACAGCCGGACTGTAAGGCTGGTCGAGCATATACAACCGCTTCACCTCCAGCACTGTCATGTCCACGCCGTAGAACTCCTTCGTCTCCCCCTTGAAACTGTACCAGTCCTGCATGGTTCGGATGTACTCCTGCTGCTTGGACAGCCGGTCCTGTTTTTTTTTTTTTTGCCACAGACGCAAAACGGTACGGGATTAATTAACAACCGGAGCAGACAGAAACCGCGGGATGCGAAAGCTTGCGACTTCGCGCGCGCTCGCCTCACTGCCGTCAATTGCGCAAGGATAACGACACCACGTTCACCGGTTGTTGGCGAGGCCGAACACCGTAACGTGCTTGCGTCTCGGCAGCAGGAAACCAGTCTGTCGGCCCCCCATCTCTTCAGCAAGAGATAAACACAGGTTTCAACACTACACGAGAACAACCCGAGAGGCAAAGTGGGGGATGGCTTTTCGAAGGCAACCAGCTGTCCGAAGTTCACAGCATAACAAGCGGCCTGCTCAAGGGGCCCAACATCTGGAAACGTCGGAACACCCCTGGACTACGCTGCAATCTTGGTCGCGGGGGGGAATGGGCCTTGAATGTCCGCGGACGGGGACATTTTGACAAAATCCCCGGGGATTCGACATTTTCGGGCGCTTTTTTCAGCGCGAGCGCGCGGGATCCCACACAGAACTAATGGAAATGATGGAAACACACCAAGAATACGCGTCAATCTTGGTCGCGAGGTCTGATGTATGGTGTAGGAAATGATATGACGACACAAAGCCTACAAATGAAGAGAAGTTCATGGGTTTTAGAATGCGGCACGAAAGTCTATTCAAGAGCATATCGGTTTTACTATGGATACACAAAATCCTACACAATAGACTGCTGCAAGCGTGCCGCCTAAACCCCCTATGTTGCGCTGCAATCTCGGCCCGGGGGGAGGGGGGGGGGGGGG